GCTCTTGCGGACCGCTGGGCCGCTCTGCCTTTTCCTTGGCCGGGGGAAAAAAGCAGAAAAAAGCAGAAACCCCCGCTGATGCAGTGTGTCCTTCAGCGGAATTCACACGTACCGAGCGTGTCCTGTGCCAACAAAACACAACAACAAGGACAACTGGGATGATGAGCCGCAGGCTTAACATCGACATTGACACTGGTAGTTGTCGCTTTGGGCCGCGGCCACGCCCCCTTTTCCCGGTGGGTCGTAAACTCTCCGCTTCCACACTAAATTACAAGTCTTAAATTTTATGCTTCAATAAATCCGCGAGCGACAAAAATGCGCGCGACTCGTTCGCAATTTGTGGCAAATTGAATTCAATTAAATGAATTAAAATGCATTCTACATAAGCGCGACCGTTAAATTGAAATCAAGCGGAAAAAAACTAAATTAAAAATTGCTTTCGAATGTGGGGCAGCAAAATCCCGACTCCACCCACCATTCCCTCCAATCGTCAGCAACTTTCCGTGAGCCAATTTGCAGTAAGAGCGAGTGAAAAATCAAAGCGAAAGTTGAAACAAGGGAAAGTTCGCTGCGCAAAATCTGGGGGAAAATGGTCGAGGTAGCTGGGATTTTTAGATAAATAAGAGTGTGTGCAAGGTCTTGAGAGCGCATTAATAAAAGCTGAGCATGTTGAAAACTTTTTGCCAGTCAATAGAAAAGTTCGCCGGGAGTTTGCTCGTTTTTACTTGCCAGCTCGTATATATACTTATTTTGAGGTTTCTGGGTTACTGGGGGCGTGGCTGAGCCCAACTTGACAAATGACAATTTTCACTAAATAACTGTAGGAACTCATACAAAAGGCAAACGGAAACCCCTAAAACGAAGTCACCGCAAATGAGAGGACACAAGAAAACAAAGGGGCGAACGGGGCGGATACTTGATAAAGTAAGGGGAGCCAATACATTAAAAGTGTGCCTGCTTAGTTTGTCCAAAACCACTTCAAGAATTATCCAAGCAAGCGGCAAGAGAGTTGGTTTATGTGATCCTTGAGGAAATCAGCAACTTATTGTACTTAAGCGCCTCTTGAAAGGCTGGCCATCCTAACTCCTCTGTAGGAGCGGGTGAAAAACGTTTAAAAATATGTGAATTATTATATTATATACTCGTATACTAGCAATTGCGGCTATTAACTGAAGTGACCTGAGGTCCACTGCATCCTTGAAAATCCCCTAAACACCGCGAAGCGAAAACAGCTCTTTCAAGAGTTCTCAGTGCATTCAATTGAGCAGACAAGGAGCTGAAAGTCTCGGCAAACTTTGAGGTCCAGATTGCCATCCCCGCAGATCCTCCTTTAAACATGTTTGCCCGGCCGGGCTAATTGAAATGCAGCCACTTGGCTAATGTCGATGGGCGGAGATGTGGGTGGAGGAGTAACCGAATCTGGGGGATACCAGGATGCAGTTCCAGCTGCGGGGGAGCGCTCAGGAGCCTCCTGTGATGGCTACAAACTAATCAATTTAAAAAGTTTCAACCGGCAGCAAAGTTTTGCGTGCGATGAGCACTACTTGTCTGCCTTCTAGTTGGGTAAATCTCGAGTCTCTCTCTAGTTCACGTTTTTATGTACACGCCTAATGGGAAAACGGAAGTTGCAGAGGAAATTCGGGTTGGCGACGCAGCAAACAGCCAACAGCCAACAGCCAGGGGAAAAAATATAGAAACAGCGCTCGAACACGCGAGCAGTTGTTCTGCATTTCCGTTTCCGCCGCTGACGCTGTTTTCAGCTTCTCTCCCCCTTCCCGCTAGTATATCCCTTGTCCTTTCGATTCAGGAGCTGCACACAGAAATATACTCGATTGCAAACTGGCAGAGCGCAGACCACTTCCTACGGAATTTTCTTGAATTTATTATTAGCAAGTTATGGAATTGATTTACAACAAAAATGAATTTGATTTTCAATGCTCCAGCGCTTATTCGTAGGAATTGTCCGCATTTCTCTGCCATTTTATAGGTTATTTATATACAGCATGCGCAATTGGCATTTCAAGCTTCAGCCTAAGTTGCCCTCAAATATTTGTGGATAAAAGATATTTGATTAGGAATCATTATTACTAACGCAATCAAATATATTTCGATGTATGTAAATTAGCACTGATTCTGAAAGACCGCCGCTGCCCAATAAATCTAATGACCTTTTCGGCCAGTGTAGTCAGCTGAAAGTGCATTGGCATTGTCCTTGCTTATGATAAATCCGCGTCCATGTAATGGAACACCCGAGTGGGCGGAGGACATTGTCGGCAAATATTCGCAAAGGACGAAGGACGGGCCGCATCGCTAAATAGATAAATTGAAAAAGTTGCGCGTTTCAAATGCTTTTCGCAAAAGCAATTAGTTTGCCGCTCGGGGCCGAGAGATCTGCTCGACTCCACTCCACGCAGCATCGTATTGCAATTAGCGCAGCTGAAGAGCAGAGGAAAAACAATACGAGCGCCAAATGGCCGGCAAACCAGGCGAAAGCCAAAACCGTGCCAAAACCGGGCCAAAACCAAACTAAACCAAACCCAGTCAAGCCCGAATCGAAACCAAGCGACCGACCAGTTAACTGAAAACTCTGAATTATGGCAGGACGAGTGCCCCGCCCACTGTGCTTCCCGATCCCAAATCCAATTCCTGCGGCAATCCCAGAGCCCCTCCACCTACTTTTCACCCAGCCCCACGCCATCCAGATCGATTGGTGGCTCCCTCGGGCGGCCCAAAACGCATTAATACCAAAATCAATCGGGCCAAATTTCGAGAAATAAAGCAGGCATTGGGTTGGCAAGGTGCCTGCACTATCTAACCACTTAATACCCTTAATTATATTTTTAATTTACTTAGGACTTCCTTTATCTATTGTGATAACTACCAATCATTGAAACTTGCTTTTTGCCATTCAATTAAAGTTACCAACAAAAGTTTTGAGTACTTTTTTATGGCTAAGTTTTGCTTTTATGGTACTAAAGTTTTTATGGCACATTTGAGCTCTGACCAATTCAAAGAAGATTTAAATATAATTATTTTTACTTCCAAATAGTAAATCTTGCTTTTACGTAGTCCATGAGACAAGCACACAGCAAATCGGTTCTACATTGTTTGGTATCAAATTAAGTATGCAATTCACAGGAAATTGAAAACATAAACTAATTAACCTTTTACCTTGCCCTTAATCCAAATCAACTAAATGTATCTGGTGCTCGGCTAACCGATGCTCCTGCAGGGTATTTCAAATGGTCGCATCTGTGGTGGTGGCAAACATTTCCACGAAAATCGGAGCGATTTTCCACGGGCAGCAGCAAAGCAAAGATAGTCCGTCGACGCGTTTCTGTATCGGTCTCTAATTGAAGTTCGTTTGGCACTGTGGGTGGGTGACAGTGGGTGGCTGGGTGGTTGGTGGCCCAATTGGGTCGGCTGAACGTGTGGGACATTGAATTAATTACATTTACACGGCCCGCGACTGATTTCCCCCTCTATTTCGCCGAATGGCAGGCTGATGTTTTGAGTGTTAATTAAAAATTGCATGTTAAATAGGCGCCGACAGTTGCGGCTTTCATTGGATTCGGCTTGTTGGAGGCTGAATTACCAATAAGTGGATACCTAAATCATGTCACAAGGAAATAAATCAAGTACATAACTCCTAATTTATGTTCACTGCCAGCGGAAACTTGCCTTTATAATAAATCAATTAAAATAATTTCTGTAGGAACACGAGCTTCCCTTTGCGCAATTATGGCCTAAGTAGAATCTGGCACAAAGTAAGTTCTCTTGGCCCTAATGAAGCCACTCGCTTTGTTCGCCCTTCGGCTGCCTTTAATTACCCCAAAGTACTGCAGCCAAAGGCAAACTAATATCCCGCAGAATCATTGCCCAGCTTAATCTTTAGCAGGAAAACTCGGTTCCCAGAAAGTATCTCCAAGTGGGGAGCTTAGCCTCTTGGACGCAGTGCAGGCAAATTTTTCAATATAAGCGAACTGGGCGCCCTTTGGTCAGTAAGTAAGATTTTGTTCATTTATTTACGAGATAAACTTTTGATTTGTTGTACCAGCTGGAGGGCATTGAGAGGGGTGGGGTGGAGTGGGGGGCTGGGGAAGTGGTTAAACGCTGGCCAAGCTGAAAGCGTTTTATTGCCCAAGTAGTATTTGGTGAGCGGCGAAACTCCGGCCCCCTCCACTAAGACCCAATAAAATGAATTTAATAGGCGATTCTTGCCCTTGGCTTCGGGTAATTCTCGCTTATTATAACCCCCTAAAACTCCCCAAACCGCACGAAGCCCCACTTCCGCCACACGAAAACTGTAACGCTCCAGTTAACAAACTTATGGCGTAATAAAAACTTTTTAAATAAATTCGCGCGAGGATTTTTATGGCCAGTTTGTAATAAATAAAAATTGCCCAACCAAAGGCAACCAAAAATATGCAAATTAAGTTGTCTGTGGTCTGGCTTTACATTCCGTTGACCAACTGCGGGAATCATGAAATGCATCAAATGAAAACTAATTAAATAACCCAATTACCGGCTGTCATAAAGCCGAACCAATTCAATCCGAAATGAAGCCAAAGATCTATGGCCGCTAACTTTATGGCAGCACTGTTTATTGAACCTAAACTTGAACAAAGGTTATCGCAGTGTTCCTCCTTATCAGTGAAACCCAAATTCATCGATGGGCGGGGCTTGGAGAAGCAATGCAATCTCCAGCCGCGGAGTTTATCGTGGGGATTTACACTTTGCACCGGCAGTGAGCCAGTGATAAGGTTTATCAGGGGTATTAGCAAACAGTAGCTATGCAAACAGCAGGCGGGGATGGGCGTCTTTCAGATAGACACTGGGAATATAATTTGTTTGCAATAGCAGCATATGGACGGGCCCACACCCACCCACTTTACGCTCTGAAGTTCGCCACCCGAGGTGACTTTGAAGACTAGATATGGCTAAATAATCAGGCGCACGCGAGGTACAGGTGGACATCTATAAATAACACCAAGCAAGAGGCGAATGTAACATTTTGTGCTTTATTGAGAATCCACTTTATACTTATGGCGCTAGAAAAAACTGTTTCAACATTCAAGCTAATCGTTATCATGTAATATTGTCACCGGAATTGCCGACATTTAAATGCCCTAAGTTTTGTTTAAACTTAACGTCGTATATACACGCATGGTTCATCGTTCGTTGATCGTTGGATATGGGATATTGGTATTTACAGGCCAGTGCTCTTGTCCGAGCCCAGAACGTACTTGTTGTAGCCCTGGTTGAGCTGCTCCAAGATGATGAAGGTCAGCACGGTGTGGGGACCCAGGCGGCAGTAGTAGGGCGTGAATCCCTTCCACAGGGCGAGGACACCTTCCTGGCGGGCCACGCGCAGCAGGACGTCGGCTGTGCCGCTGTACTCCGGCTTGCCATCGACCATCTTCATGTTCTGGATACGGGTCTTGGCAATGTCCAGCGGCATGGAGGTGATGGTGGTCAGCAGACCGCTCAGCATGCTGGCGCAGAAGTGCAGCTTGATGCCCTCCTCCATCTGGAGCGGTCCGTGGCGGAAGTAGGTCTTGAACTGCGAGTAGCTGGCCAGTTGGGTCATGTTGACGACCATGGCGCGACCCACCGTAGGCAGACTGCCACGCCAAAGGGCCGTAAGGCCTTCCTCCCTTGTAATCCTGGCCAGAGCGTTGGCCACATTCGTGTAGTTCCTCCTCTCGGCCACCGGCAACCTGCCGTCGGAGGTCATGCGCACCAGTGCCACCTCCGCGGGCGTTCCAATGAAGGCGCCACAGGCTCCGGCAATCGTGCCCATGGCCATGCTGTCCGTGATGCCGGGACTCCTCTGGAACTTCTCCCTGAACACATCGTTCAGATACGTGTACATGCCCAATCTTCCAGTGGTGTAGGTGGCCTGTCTCAGCAGAGCAGCTCCGATGCCCTGGTACACGGCCAGAGGTCCCTCCTTGCTCATGATGGTCTGGATGCAGTGCAAGGAGTTGCGGTACTCCTTCTTGCCGCCGCCGGCTCCAGAGATTTGCATGCGGGTCTTGACCTGCGAATCAAAGTTCACACATTCCAATGGGTATACACATATGTGGCTAAGTAGTATCTCCAATGTGTCTTACCAAATCCAGAGGCTGCACCACCATGGTGGCTCCCATTCCCGAGAGGCCGCCGAAGAGGAACTTGATGGCATTGGAGGCCACCGCCTTCTTGGGCGCCTCATGGACAGTAGCAGCGCTCATATTTGCGGGACTTCGATTACACAACACTCGGGTTAGTGCGTAATATGCTCGCAGTTTCCTGTTATCGCTGCCCGGAAAAATCGACTCACCGCCGCGGGGGAATGTGGAAAATGCGGAGGGAAATGGGAAAGCACCTCTATTCGCCGATGGCACAATTAATAATGAATTTTATCCGCCGCACGCACTTGCCGAACAGCTGATATCGCCGTTTGTTTGTGTGGGTCTTAAATTTATTTCCTAGATTTATTTTCGCACCGCGAATGTTGTTCAATGTCAAATGCGGCGCCTTCTCTCGCCCGGTTTATTTTTATTTTCGGCACAAGTGGCACGTGCTGCTTGGCTGCAATTTGTTGCGTGGTCGCGGAATGTTTGGCACCGAATTCCCTTTTTTATTTGACTTTTTTCAGCCTGCAGTTGAGGAGAAATCCAATGCAGCCAAACCAGCAACAACACGAAAATACATCTGGTGGCCACGGGCTTGTTGTTAGTGGGCCACAGCTGATGACGTGTGCGCGAGAGAGCGAGAGCGGCGGCGCAAGAGCGCAGCAGGGTTGCCAGGTGTGGTGAGAGCGGTTATAAATAAATAAAAACCATAGTATTACACTCTGCATTTCAAATCATTTCAATATGTGTGAATTTTTCTAAAAAAAATAAAATAGATAATCTATATTTAAATAGTAAGGTATATTAAAAATTATATACAAGGATGCTCTGCACACCCTGGAACACAGCCAACGGTGTTGCTAAACGCCAAACAGCTGAGCACCTTGACCGCACTTTCAAACTAGAGAGCGCAACGTCCAATTAGCATTTCCTCTGTATCTTTTTGTTTTGCTTTGTTTACACGATTGATTCACCCACACACAATTAGAATTCGCCAGATTTCTCACAGAATAACACCTTTCCGCACATATGTTTTCTTTATCTCGATTGCTGCTTTTGCTGGGAGTCTGCTTATCGACGCAGCAAACAGAATGTTTGCTGGGCTTTTATCATAATTGCGCTAATTGGAATTCCAATTGGCCCAGTTTGATTGTGTGCCATTTTTGATTCGTTTTAGACAGTCGTTGTTAATGGAACTACAGTAAAACCGGCTATAGCGTATCGTGATAAAAACGAAATACCTATTTCATACTTATTGTATCAAATCAAGTTTTGTTTCATGTCTAGAATAATAGTTCCATTATAGCATTTTACACATCAAAACGTACTGCCTGCAATTTCTTTGTAAGGGTATGTAATATAGTTGTTTTCGCTTCGTATTTTTAGCTCATCTCTGCTAATTTGCAAGATACATATTACGATTCCCATACAGATATGAATGCACGCTTCCAGCTACAATTGCTTTCTCCATGTTCGACATCCTTGGCAAGACCGTACCGCCTGGAAAGACGTTTCACGGATCAATGGATCCCGTGAATTTACCGAAAATGACAGATAATGACGATGGAGCTTGTCGCACAACATGTTATCATTAAATCGCACTCGTATCTCGGGACGGCATTCAGTCAGCTTGCAGGAGCCTCATCCATCCAAGCGCATTACGCGCATTCGTTCCGCATTTCTTCTGGAGCAGCTCCTCCACCCACGACGACCTTGGCCCCGACCCCCTCATTCAATCAGAGGCGACTCAACAGATTGCCTGTCGTTTGCCTGCCATTGGAGCCGAAGCAATTCCAATTCAATTTTAGCTGCGATGACGAAGCCGGCGACAACGCTTGCTCCAACAGGGATTTTCGCATTTTTGTAAAAAAAAAAGTCCAAATGGGGAGGGGCTGCTGGAGGTGGGCACATTGTAAGCAATCAGCGGAGGAAGGAGCCAAGCGAAATCTCCAGCTGTCAACCGGGCTGTAGATAAAAACTACCTCCCGTGCAGGACACTTTCCGGAGTCCTGCTCTCCGCCACACACATTATAAATACCATTCACGAGTGGAACGGACCCCCAGCCACGGTTAATATCCTTCGGCTGCTCAGACTGTCGACCAAACATGTAGTTCACGTGCAGCTAAGGTCCAGATAGTATTACACAGATCCTGAAAAATATCCTCACTCACATCTATTATGTGAAATGTAAGTTTAGGTGCTATAATCAAAAGAAACTAAATTTTTACTGCAAAAGGTTTTTTATATTTTGAAAATAAGCTACTATCTACTGTTCCGCTGGTGTTAAAGTAAGCAACCGGTGTGAAGGACACCGTAAGTGAAATTGAACGCTTGGACTTACGGAAGGAAGGAGGCGACGAGGCATGTAACCTGTGTGGATTCGATTGTGACAATCTATGGGCACAGGAAAATATTGAGAAATAGATAAAGGGTTCAAAGAATCCGGCTGTGGCTTTTACATGTTCATAGTTTTATTTAAAGTCTTAAGAAAAAAGTTGTGGCGCACTCCAGAAACTGAAATTAAAATAAATATACATATAAATTGTTGTGATATAAAACGTTGAATAAATACACAAATTTGACAAGTACTAAGTACTAAGGTTATGAAAATCGCAGGGCAGCACTCAGCTGAAAATCGCTCAGCTCAAAGTAAAAGTTCGCCCTCGAGTTAAAGTAATGGAACCCCCTTCGAGATGCCCACTTATCAGCTGCACTTTTGAAGCATCTTCGGATTGCTCGCCTCAGCGAGTGCATTCAATCTGATGGTTTGCCAGTTTGCCAGGTGGCAAGTGGATGTGCGGCAGGGGATGTGGACGGGATACGGATGATAATGCTAATGGGGAGGTGGCTGGGTTTGTCGACTCGGGACCCGACTGGTTAGGTTCCATCGCTCATGTGGCTGATGTGGCGCTGGCTGCCTGGCCAATCAATAAAATTTCACGGCGCAGTAATCAAAGCATGTGACATTAGCGCAAAGTTGAATGAGTCCATGGCCCGGGATCTGGTTAGGCTTTTGTGTGGTGGGCTGGCATTGGGGCAAGTAGGGGCATTGGGTCGCTCGATAAATAAGTTCCCCTCCTACGACCTATGAGCATGTAAATGTGCTCCCCTGCAGAATCAACAGTTTGTCGCCTGCTAATTTTAAACCAGGAGTAGTGTGGGAAAAACGGGACGAAACGGCCAGCGAAGTTCACCTGCAAGTTTGTGAACATTTATTTTCGTGCAGCGCGCTTAGTGATGCGTTAGGGTAAACAGCTTACAGCTCCGCAGGATCGGGAGGAGGAACTTTCCAACCGGTTTTGGTCTTTCAGCCGCAGTTAACCGGGCCCGGTTTTTGGTTTGGTTTTGGCAACGACCAACTTGGACTGCAAATCGAGTGGAAGACTTCTATGCGTTGGCACACGAAAATAAGTTGCCTCTGCCGTGGGAGCTCTCCTTCCTGTCTGCCACCATTTATTCTTGGCTCCGGCTCGAATAAATAGGAGTCCTTGAAGTTCAGACAAAGGTCGCACTTCTCGGTAGGTATTCGTTTTCAGCGATTTGTGTCACTGCCAAGCGGCGAAAAATGATCAAAGTGGCCCAAATGGAAGGCCAAAAGGAAACGCCCTGGCGCGTGCTGGAAGGCCAAAAGGCGAGCCAGGAAGTCGAACAATTGGAAACCGGCTAGAAATGCCAGAAATGCCAGAAATGCCGCATGATTCAGCCGGCTGCAAGTGCATTTCGACCAGAAGTGCGGGCCAAATTAAACGGAAACGCAAACGCAAGCAGCTGAAGTGAGGAATTGTTTTGGCAAACTTCGTTTTAGCCAAGTTTCCGATAGAGTCCACTTAAATAAACATTTTCCCAGTGGAAATTAGAAAGTAGAGAGGGATTTGGCTAAATAGTTCCTTCTGCTTCTTGAATAGAAACATAATAGGACCCATTTCTTGGAAGAGGAACCATGTTAAAACGCGAAGAATGTTGTCACTTCATGACAAAGTAATATATGTCTAATAAAAAATGCAATAGCAGCTCTTTAAAACTACTGCGTGCATGGCACATGAGTCATCTGTTCTTGGGAATCTCCCACTTATCCTGGGGCAACCCATCCTGGCGCAATTTTCTGCTGACTGTCGCTTAAATTAGAACAGCATTCAGAGATCCTGCGCGCAGTAATGAAATCCGCTTTAGGAATTCATGTGGGGATAAAGCCGGAAAAAAGAAATGGCTGGGCGGCACCAGCCCGAGTGGAAAGTGGAAAGTTGAAATTGCTTTGCCCAAAAGGGCAGCGGAACGGAGCGGAGCTCACCCAACAGCTTGGGTTAACCGAGGGTGTCCTTTGGCTATTTGCAATATGCAAAATGCGACAAAATAGTTTTGAGGGCCACGGCCACGCCCAGCCACTCGACTGCGCTGGCTGCGTAAATAAACATTTAACTTTCTATTAGGATTTGCATGAAAAGCGACGCGAAATTGGTGCTGCAATGGGGAGGAGGAGGAAGAGGAGGCGAGCTCGACGGGATTACCGCGGCCGCAGCCAATTTAAGCGGACTCCTAAGGGGCAGCGCGCGGCTTAATCAGATTGCGGTCTAAACATGCTAATGGCATTATAATTATCCCCAGGGAAAGGCGCTGCCACCTGCCCCAGCGATTTGCGAATTGCCAACTTTTTGCCACTTAAAGCAGCTAAATTGCACTGTGGCTGCAGTCGCTACTGCTACTGCTACTGCCCCACCAAGTGCGATCCCTCCGACATTAGCGAATAATCAGCATTAATGGCCAAGATACGAGCGCATCATCCGCCGGATGAGGATTCCAGCGGATTCGAAGGGCCATTGTGCAGCAGCTCGGGGATTATATCCGCAGCAGCTCAATGAAAAATTATATGTACATTGTTGTCGGTTCCGTTCGGTTGGGTGGCCTGCCATGTGGATGACGCCCTCTGGCCCTTTTGTCCACTCCCAGGGCGACATTGAAATTAGTTTGCATTATTCGAGGCAAGCACTGACAGTTAATTGTGCTCTAGTTGCCCCTGCTGCAACGTTGCTGATCTCTCTTGGCAGAGCAAACAACAAATTTAGTGAATGTAACGAGAACTGCATTAAAGAAAGCCATGTGAATTGAAAGTTGGCAAAGAGTCCATCAATATCAACAAATAAATAAGTTGAAGAAACTCAAAAGAATTTATTGCAGACGAAATTAACTTTGTATTCGACTTTTTATAGCCTTCTTTTCACACAAATTCATAAGAATTAATAACAACATTTTTCTTTGTGCACTCTGTTTGTTAACCATTGGCCATTGAGGTGGCTCATGAATACCTTAGGCACGGGCAAATCTCGTGGTCATGAGCGCAGAAAAATACGTTCATACGCCCCATTGTCCACATTACGTATACGTAATACGTATACGCCACGGGCAGCCTGCAATCCACATCGAGAGCCACCGCCTGCTGATTAAGTACGAAAATTTATGGCTCCTTTTTGTACTGGATTCTGAAAGGCACTCCTCTCCACTTTGTTGTTTGCGTGTCAACCTTTTGGCCATATAAATTAAAAGCAGCTCAGTCCCGGCCTCAAACAACTAAGCCACTTGGCTAAAATGTCTGTGGCTTCAACTGTGTAACTAAAGTCGGTTCAGCATCATTGTCAGGGCCAGAT